CTGGTAAGTCATCTATATAAATTTTATTAAAGAAATATCTCTAAACTTTTAGCTACTTACATTGTCATACTGATTTTAATCGACTTTCATCGCTTCTTTTCAGGACCGGGCTCCTCCTAATTTGCATAATCCGTAATCGGCCCGTGGGCATTACGGCTGCATAATGACCGCTCAGATCTCGCTCTTAGCCAATCAGATAGAGCGCGCGTTATATCGGCCACAAGCCAAAGCCATATAATAATTTATGTTAATGTTAATTTCTCCGCTGTTAATTAAGTTGCGCGTCAATTTCCGTGACGTTAATTACCATTATTTTCCCCCAGATCTGTGACACACTCCAGACACACATTCTTGACACAGCCAAACAATAAATTTTATTCGCGCACTTTGCATTTCACATCAATATTTCACATTAGTACATCGTTTACTGTACTTCAACTGGATTTTGTTCGTGTTCGCTGTCGGCTTTACACTTAAAATAAATTGGTTCCTGTCCTCAACAAATTCTTTTTCGGGGAGGGAGTAGCAGACGCGTTAATTTCCTTCATTTTGAAATTTTGCCCCCTCTCTCGCGTTAATGTCCTTTATTAGGGAGCAAATTTACCCTCAATTCGCGTTAATTTCCTTTATTATATGGCCAGCTCCGTGAGCGGGCATAAACCGTCTCGATCCATAAACACGCGAAAAAAGAACTTGGCTAATATCCTGCCATCTTGACCTCACACACTTGGTCAATAAGCCATACATAATAAGGTGATTTGGGTCATAAATTTTAGCGTCAGCTCACCGTCATCAACCCGTGCATCTCTTTCCTGATAAAGCACGCTGTTTCATGATCAGCCAATCAGAGCGCGCGTTATATGCAAACTTTATTATAATGTAAAATATGCTAATGCTATGAATATTAGCTGTGATAAAAGTAAACATGATTGAAATTATATAGAGCTAAGTATGCAAAGTGATGACAGGCTATTCAATGCACACCATCATAACACTCAACTGAAAGACTTCATTCTAAGTTATGAATAATGTTGTCTTCTAACCGATTCTGCTTTCTTGTTTGGAAAGAACGCCGAGTATAAAATCAACCATGCGAACATAGTTAATAGAGGGGAATGGTTATGAAACTCGACAAAGTTCTTTGTTGTATTATATTTTTTTTCTCTCTTTTTGGGCGTAAGCCGTGCACAAAACCGTGAAATAGTTGTTTACCACTGACAGGTTCAGATACGGCTTTTAAAATGGTCCAGCTGGTAAAGGTTTCCGAATAGCCAATATAAATTTTGGAAAATGATCCTTTTCCCCATCACTGAGAAAGTCAGCCGCAGCTAGGGAAAGATTTTGATATCTAAGCGACAACTTTAAATTAATATTCCGTCGGTTTCTTTGAAATTCGATAGTTTCATAGCCCGTTCATTCTACTGTATTTATTTAGCAAAAAGAAACCATTGATCGCTCGCTGGGAGAACATCTTTATAAAATTCCATTCCGTATGGCTTTATCTTCCTGCATTTAGCCACTTATTGTCGTACCAAAGTCGGTAAAATAGGAAAAACAAAACTAAAAAAAGAATCCCTAAAATATTGTGCTTGTATTCAAATTGAACTCGTCGTTATCGTTTGGTAATGTCCCTTTTTGCTTTTTTTGTAATCCGGCAAATTGTCCGAATGTACACTCGCCAGTGCGTGTGTTTATTTGCGGGCAGTAAGAGGCGGGAACTGTCACACCGGTCATCGTAACCGTCGCCGGCTAAAAAAGGAAAATCTGTATGAAACTTAGAATTGTTTTTCTAAAAATAGCTAGCTCCTTTGGACCGAGTTCAATCTGTTCAAGCTTCTAATCACTTGCATTCCTCGATTCCGGCTGGCTTTCATTGACATTAAATTTTCGTTTAAACGCCTACTTTATTTACTTTTGACGGGAAGTTGTTTTCTAACATTTCGGTTGCACTCAGTTTGAACCCGCTTACCTAACAGCATCACTGGAGACGATCGTTTAGTCTGAGAGACTGTAGTGTTTGCAGTACATAAGGAAAGATCTGACGATATAAAATTTTCATACTTTTCGTAATGACTAGCCGCTAGCATTAAAGATCTGCTAAGATTATGGCTAACTACTAAGGCCAACATTTTCCTGCAGGTTTGCTTCTAAACTTCCATAGTCGCATTGTGGTCGCTAGCTGAAACTACTTTTCTAGGCCTGCGCCTTTTTTTCTAAAAAATACGCACCCTTGCCGCTGGTAGGCAACTCACCTTAGTTGACAAAAATTGTGGCTTTTCTTTGGTTTACGGCCGTCTTTTCACTTAAGTCAGTTTCCCTTCAGCTGCCGGCGCACTAGTGCAACCTCACCGGCTGATTAATGACAAACTTCTCTGCCGTCAATGCAGTGTGTAACTTGCGATATTTCACCCTAAGTATATGTTTTCAAGTTATAATTCTACCATTAAAGGGAACGAAAACACCGCACACCGACCTGAGAACTTATCTTATCAACACGGCT